CACTCCTCACTTTACAATTCACACTTCACACTCCACACTTTCCACAACACACTCCACACTTTAAACTCCACACTCCACACTTTACACTCCTCACTCCACACTTTACACCACACTTTACACTCCACACTCCACACTCTACCCTCCACACTTTACACTCCACACTCCACACTCTACACTTTACACTCTACACTAAACACTCTACACTCCACACTTTACACTTTACACTCCACGCTTTCCACTCTACACTCCTCACTCGACACTTTACACTCCACACTTTACATTCCACACTCCACACTCTACACTTTAGACTCCACACTCCACACTTTATACTTTACACTTCTCACTCCACACTCCACACTTTACACTCCTCACTTTACACACCACACTCCACACTCTACACACCACACTCTACACTTTCCACTCCAGACTCCACACTCTACACTTTACGCTCAACACTCCACACCCCACACTTCACACTCCACACTTTCCACTCCACACTCCACACTTTACACTCCTCACTCGACACTCCACACTTTACACTCCACACTGCACACTTTACACTCCTCACTCCACACTGCACACTTTACACTCCTCACTCCACACTCCTCACTTTTACAATTCACACTTCACACTCCACACTCCACACTTTCAACACTCCAACACTCCACACTTTAAACTCCACACTCCACACTTTACACTCCTCACTCCACACTTTCCACCACACTTTACACTCCACACTCCACACTCTACCCTCCACACTTTACACTCCACACTCCGCACTCTACACTTTACACTCTACACTAAACACTCTACACTCCACACTTTACACTTTACACTCCACGCTTTCCACTCTACACTCCTCACTCGACACTTTACACTCCACACTTTACACTCCACACTCCACACTCTACACTTTAGACTCCACACTCCACACTCTACACTCCACACTTTACACTCCACACTCCACACTCTACACTCCACACTCTACACTTTCCACTCACCACTCCACACTCTACACTCCACACTCTACACTTTACACTCTACACTTTACACTCTACACTTCACACTCTACAATTTACAAACTCCACACTCCTCACTCCACACTTTACACTCCTGACTCCTGACTTTACACTCCACACTCCTCACTCCACACTTTACACTCCTCACTTTACACTCCACACTCCACACTTTGCACTTTACACTCCTCACTCTACACTCTACACTCCACACTCTACACTCCACACTCTACACTTTACACTCCTTACTCCACACTCTACACTTTACACTCCGCATTCTACACTTTACACACTCTACACTCCCCACTCCACACTTTACACTCCACACTCCTTACTTCACACTCCACACTCCACACTCTACACTTTCGACTCCACACTGCAGACTGGTAACAAGGGAAACATGTACAAGACTGTTCAAATAAACTATTGCAGAAAGGTATTGTGCGTGACTGCAAAACCATGTGTTTTGACATCTGTGCCATTAACATACGTGTGAGCATTCGGGTTCGTGGGCTTCATCTTGTTTTCATCCCAAAGGGCTGGAGAGTCAAGTTTGCCCAGAAATATCATAGAGATACCATGGAAATCCCACAGGAATCCAATAGAAATCCCATAGAAACAAATCCATCAATATGCAGATGCCATGCTGCCATGCCAGCATCAAATTGTTCGGACAGCCCACCTTGTTAATTCCACACAGATGGAAGATGTCTGAGGCAAACATTGGATCGTTTTGGAGCCGCTGGTGTACATCATGCCCAAACCTGACCCCAAACAAACTGCCAAGGACTGGGGGAGTTCAGGTTTGATACGAAGGGTTCTTAAGATCTGTGACCCTAACGACCCTAACGCCAAAGGGTGAGTTCTCCGCTCCGGTGAGGCGATCTCTGTGGTGCTGATGTGGATCCAGAAAACAGCATGCATGACATAATATATGTACATGGAGTTCGCGAAAGTTTCGCGAAAGTTTCACATTTTCTTCACGAAGAATTTTATCCGTTCCCGGATAAAGGAATTTTGATCAACCATCTTATATATCACCTTCAACCTGTCGTTGGAGATGATTCCTTCTGGGACATGCGAATGTCGCTGATCCCCTGCGGTTGCATGATGTTTATGTGGTGGTGATTACATCATATGATTTGGTTGGTAGGATCTCCATGTTCGATTGGTGTTGTCCCATTTCTCTTGGATCAAGTTCCAATTGTCGGTTGGTTGAATCAGTTGGATCCCCATATCGGCTGCCCATTTTTCATCATTTTGGTGGATCAAGTCCCCATATTTGTTCCCCAACAGCGTGAGCTAATGGGGTCTTCAGCCCAGAATAGCTCCGGTGTGCACTGGTGCAGGCGCCGGGTCAGGTTCAACAGGGTTCCGGAGAAGGTTGAGAAGGTCTGGGAAGCTTTGGTGCAGAGCCAGGTCAGGTTCAACAAGGTTCTGGAGAAGGTTCTGGAGAAGGTCTGGGAGGGGGTTCCGAAGAAGGTTGCGGAGCAGATTCCGGGAGGCTTTGTGGTGCAGAGCCAGGTCAGGTTCAATAGGGTTCTGAAGGGTTCCGGGGAAGCTTCCGGAGAAGAGCCAGGTTAGCTTCAAGAACGTTCCGGAGAAAGTTCCGGAGAAGGTCTGGGAGGCTTTGGTGCAGCCAGGTCAGGTTCGGAGAAGGTCTGGGAGGCTTTGGTGCAGAGCCAGGTCAGGTTCAACAGGGTTTCGGAGAAGGTTCCGGAGAAGGTCTGGGAGGCTTTGGTGAAGAGCCAGGTCAGGTTCAACAGGGTTCTGGAAAAGGTTCCGGAGAAGGTGTGGGAGGCTTTGGTGCAGAGCCAGATTAGGTTCAACAGGGTTCCGGAGAAGGTTCCGGAGAAGGTTCCGGAGAAGGTTCCGGAGAAGGCTCCGGAGAAGGTTCCCGGAAGCCTTGGTGCAAAGCCAAGTCAAGTTCAACGCGTTCCGGAGAAGGTTGCCGAAGCCAATCCAGGTCAGGTTCATTTAATTCACGGAAACAGCTGAGGTGTTTCCAGCGCTTGGCTTCGCAGCATGTTCAGAAATATTTGTAAAAATGAAACTTGCGGCTGTTGGGGATACCGCCGAAGCTTCTTGTTTTTTCCATGCCATCTTGGGTAACCTTCAGGACCCGTCCCATCCCCTGCGCAGGAGAAGCTCGGCCAATACGGCAAGGGCGAAATCGTCGAAGGGGATGGGGTTCGCAAAGACGGCCGAGAAGCCCAGCGGACCCAGCGGACTCAGCGGACTCAGCGGGGTCTTTCACGTTATGTGAACCATTAAAAGTGCCTTGATTGGTTAAAAAATAGGGTGTTATCTGAGTTATCCTAACTAATTTATTGGGGATTGCGATAGTCCATAGTAGGGAATAACGAGGGGTATGTTCAATGGATCAACTGAACCAAGAAGATATTGGGATGTCATGGGGATATAACTATGGATATACAATGGAATTTAGCAGGCTATATAATCAACAGACCAACCACATTAATCAACAGATCAGCTACATTAGTCAACAGATCAACCACATTTTAGCAGGTTGTAAGTGCGGAAACATCGGAGGCCTAAGTTAGAACCTCCAGGGCCCCTGTTTTGTTGGAGAAGCTTGGGATGTGAAGATCTTGTGATCCCTCAACTTTAACGGCCGAAAATCTCATGGAATTCAGTTTCCTTCGCGTGTGTTTGAAAATGAGGATACTCCTTTCCAGGGCCAGTTAATGAGGGAAATCAATTTTCTAAACCATCAGATGCTCCCCAATGGTAGGTGGAACATACAGGTGTCCACTTCACCTATCACATTGTGTTGATCTGAACTTTGAAACCCTAAAAAACAGGAATGCGTCTTATTTTGTTGTTCTCAGCCTATCTATTCATTTATCTGTCGACAGTATCCATTTTTTTCAAACCAATCTATCTACTGTAGCTATCTGTAGCTTTCTTGAATACCAACAGGATGTAACAGGAAGCTTCGGAAACATAATGGCAGATCTGTTGGGTTTCGGAAATCTTTGTTGGGCAGGCATCCGGTGGCTGAAGACCAGCCATGAAGGAGAAGAGGTGCCGTTTTTCTGTGTCTTTCTGAGATGGATTGCAAGTGGATTGCCAGAAAGATTGAAAATACATGAAAATACATGATGCATTCAATCCATTCATTTACCATCAAATGCGTTCAGTGAAACAACTGCAGATTCCACCCCCGCCAAAGTGGAGGCTTGGATTTTGATTGATGGAACGGCCGTGGGCGTCGATCGATTGTTTATGGAGCCGGTTCCTGGCTAAAAAAAGGGGTGCTGGGGTGCTCATGGACCCAAGGGTTACCAGTAAAACTTCTGAAAATATGGAGGATTTGACCATCCAAACAAGTGAGGGTTGATGATGATTGATGTGATTTGGACTGCAGAAACTCGATGTCATGACTTTCAGTTTTTTTGCGGTGGCCTAAGAGATCGAACGAAGATTGTCCATGACTTGCCACTGAATCTGTCGCGCAAATCGCTTCAAATCACTGATCACTGGCAAGCGCATTTTTGAGCCACGGAATTATTCATGACTCATAAACACTCATAATATTATATATATATGACCGAAGTGGGTTTTTCAACATATTTTCACCATCCTGCTCTCTCCAATAGACCTTGAACAAAAGTTCACAAGCCATTTGTTTTGTTTTGGTGCCTGGTGGAATGCTGCGATGTGACCATGCGCCGAGCTGCGGCATTGGCGGCCTTGGCGGCCTTGGTGGTTGCGGCCGGATGCACAGGTGCCTTTGCAGAAACATCATGGACGTATACCAGCAATGAATCAACCAATCTATATTAAGTCACGAAAGCTAGCTTCTGCTAGCTGAAGTCCCTCTTGCTTTAGCAAGTCAGCAACCGTTTGCAGCCGTGATGAGGACACTATGGCCGTGCCTCTGGCCAGTGCTGCAAAAGTGGTCACTTTTGGAGGTTTCAAACGTTGCGTAGCCTCGTTTCGTGTGGCAGGGGTGGCACTTCGTGACATTCCAACATGTTTCATAACGTGTTGAAAGTCGTTCTGTGTGACAGGCGCAATACTTTTGCGAGGTTTTTAGAAAATGACTTGCATTTTTCGTGGCAGGGGCAGCACTTAGCTTCATGTTCACAACAATCAACTAAATTGCCATAAGCCCAACCATCTGAAACGAAGAGCGACCAAACATCAGTTCAAATCACCATTCGTCCAACCACCACTCGTCAGTATTGATCCAACGTTGGCCAGGCCCTTGCTTTCCCATCTTCAGCAATGATGCCATGGCCTTTCCTGGTGCCTGCCACAGGGGGAAGTCTGGTGGCGTTGATGTGTCACCAGCTATGAGTGGGAAGATGACTCTCTCATGATGCGGCCCTTTGCTTGGGCACTCATTTTCTGACTACAGCGTGGCTGGGTACGGTGATTTGATATATTGCGACAGATGCGGGAATAATAATCCCCAGTATTTGCTGCAGGGTATATCAGCGTCTCTATGACTCGCTGTGTTTTTCACAGTGGAACCCCAGCTGCTTCCCCGACCTTAGGTCTTTGCCGGGTCGAAAATGCGAGCTCCCCTGGTGCCTGGGATTGAGAATGTCGCCAGTTGATCTGATCTCAGCATTTTTATGATGGTTTCCCTCGTTTGTCTTCAAACATGGCTAGATGGGAAACTCCCATCAAAAGTAGACATGCGAATGGGAAAAGCATTTGCGAATGAGGGAATTGCCACCAAGCCAGGTTTATTGATTGTTCACGTGTGTTCTTTGTCTCACCAGTGTCGTGTTTTATTGTTGTCCCTTTCCCATCCCTTCTGTGTTTACGTGCGTTCTTTGTCCTTATCATTGCGGGGTTATATGGTTAGTCACCGCTCATCCCTTTTGCGCCGCTCAGGACGGACTGCCCTGGTCGTGGTGCACCCCCTGCCCAACCGGCAAGCTCCCTGCCGGTTGGAGCAAGCACCAGCACGCCGATGGCGGCGCCCTTTACCTCCGCCCGGACGGCAGGCTGGTTTCGGAAGCCCCCACGTGGCACGAAACCGGCCTGACCGGCTACTGCCTGGAAGCACCGCCGACGAGGCGCGCTGCTGCTGCTATTACTATTACTGCTACTGCTACTGATTCAAGAGGTTAGTGTATAAGGAGAATCGCATCTCATTGTATATCGGCTCGTTGAAAGTTTAACGGTTTAACGCATCATATCCCATGGTATCTCCCATTATATCGCTTGAAGTTGTTTGAAGTCAGGTTTCCGAAGTCAGTGGGTGGTGGTTTCATTTATTTCTTCCTTCGTTTTACCGGGAAGTGTTCTGGGGATTCATTGAAACTAGCCAGAAAGAGATTAGAACATTTTTTGCTGCTGCCACCTCCTGCATCCTCCAGCCAGAAGCTTGGTTCGACTCCAGAGCTGACTCCCTTGAGCTGTTTCCATCCCTTATTCCCCAACAGCATAAGCTAATTGGGTCTTCAGCCCAGAATAGCTCCGGTGTGCACTGGTGCAGGCGCCGGAACGAGGTTCCGGAGAAAGTTCCGAAGGTTCCGGAGAAGGTATGGGAGGCTTTGGTGCAGAGCGCTCCGGTGTGCACTGGTGCAGGCGCCGGGTCAGGTTCAACGAGGTTCCAGAGAAGGTTCCGGAGAAGGTCTGGGAGGCGTTGGTGCAGAGCCAGGTCAGGTCCCACAGGGTTCCCGAGAAGGTTCCGGAGAAGGTGTGGGAGGCTTTGGTGGAGAGCGAGGTGAGGTTCAAGAGGGTTCCGGAGAATGTTCCGGAGAAGGTCTGGGAGGCTTTGGTGCAGAGCCAGGTCAGGTTCAACAGGGTTCCGGAGAAGGTTCCGGGAGGCTTTGGTGCAGAGCGAGGTCAGGTTCAACAGGGTTCCGGAGAAGGTTCCGGAGAAGGTGCGGCTAGGTACTACAGGGTTCTGGAGAAGGTGCCGGAGAAAAGGTGGCCTGGGGACAGCATCTTCGTTGAATCAGAGCTCCACAATTTTAAGTCTTTGTCTGGTGAAGCCCAACGGCTCGGATTTTGGAGGTCACTACAATCTCACATCAACCTACTTATTTGCAAGTTTTTTTTGTCAAGGCACGCCCCTGCGCGCATGCAAGGCGAGCGCTGGAGCGGCGCCTTGGCCTTCATGGTTGGGATAGATTACCCCGGCAAAAAGAACCAGTGATGTAAGGAAGGTGATGGAATGGGGCGCAGCTTTTCCAAAGAGACAGGGAGAGCGAGAGAGATTATTTTGGTGTGTATATATATATATATTGCAATTTTGTGCTTCTAGGGCAGGCGTGGTGAAGTGTCGGGACAGTGGTTGCAAGTCACTTGAGGAAAAAAGATTTCGCAGAATGGAAGAAGTGCCATGCAAGCTTTAGTCCTCGAGCTCGTTTTTTGCTTAACTGCTATGTTTTACTGCAGCGGGGCAAAGCCTTTGGCTGTCCAAAAGTTTGTTCTGAGGGAACTTTGTGCTATGCGAAGGCAGCCCGTACAGGCCTGCCATCATGAGTTCCATACTTACAGTAACCCCGTTGCCTTCAAAGCCCAAGCGCTCCGGACTCCAAACTACTGTTGGCAGCGTGGCAGGGCGGCCAGGACGACGCGATGGACTTTGCCAGAGCCCCAAGTTTTGATAAGTTTTGCGCTTGGGCCTTCGGGAACGCATTTTTTCCCAGGAAAAGTTCCTGCGCCGAGACAGGCAGTTCTTCGAATGCACCCAAACATGAAGACAGGCTATGTTGCGTGATTGGGTTTTCCTTTGCACACCTAGTATTTGGCCAGGAATTTGTTCGTTCAAACCCTGCTGGGCATCGACGCCAAGAAGGCATTTTCATTCTTTTCGTTTTTTTTCAATTAGTGCAGAATGTAATGTGAGAGAACAATCATTTCTTGCAAATCAATTTTTCTTGGATCTCTCAAAGTTTGGAGATGATTTCGGCCAGATTTGCCATTGCCCTCGAGGCCAACTTGGCCAGCATACCTGGATCAGTCCCAAAGGTCGGGATTCAAGACCTGATCGGCCGGTTCAGACCATGCATGGGTACACGTTGGAGGGTAAAGAGTACCCCTGCAACTGCCACCCTAGACATTTTCTTATAAAGTGTTGAAAGTCGTTTTGTGTGACAGGCGCAATACTTTTGCGGGGTTTTCAGAAGATGACTTGCATTTTTAGTGGCAGGCGCAGCACTTTGGAGGTGTCCATCTTCATTTTGCGTGGCAGGCGTAGACGTGTCGTGTTGCTTGTGTTTGGCGAATCTTATTGTCAGGGCTTCGTGAAGTGGTGACTGGCAGCCGCCGTGTGTGGAATGTTATTTGCGTGGCAGGCGCAATATTAGACTCCACGCTTTACACTCCACACACTACACTTTACACTCCGCACACTACACTTTACATTCCGCACTACACTTTACACTTTACACTTTGCACTTGACACCCCGCACTACTTCACACCCTACACATTACAATCCCCACTCAACACTCTACTGTCTTCATTGTCTTCACACTCCGCAGTCTGCACCCCACCCCATTCCACACTCCACCGTCCACGCTGGTACAGTAGCAAGGGAAACATGTACAAAACTGTTGAAATAATTTGTTTCACAAAAGGTTTTACCTCCTTGCATTCGGGTTCGTGCTTGCATTCGGGTTCGTTGGTTTCTCTTGTTTTTGTTTTTCTTCTCCACATGATTGGTACCCTCCAGTAGATTAAATTAACATTAATATGGAAAATCCACCATTCATAGATCTTTTGCGTTGGTTTCCTGGGGAGACCACGAGTTAGTTTATCCCTAAAGCAAGTTGGTGGAGCCAAGGCGGTCTTGTGCTGTGGCCCGATCGATGGCGAGGCACAGGGACTGAACAACTCCAGCCGAAAAATGTTGGACACAACAAAACCTTCGATTTGTTTGGATGAATAGATTGATATAATATTGATATAACTAGAGTTAATTGAGTCTACCCACCTAAGTCTTAGTCAGTTTTTGAATAGCTGACAACAGAAATTGTGTCGATCCAGGTGTGACTTCCAGATGCGCGACCGGCCCCGTGACGTGGCGGGACGAGGGCCCGGAACACCGGGGCTTCGGCACCTTTGGTCCGGGACCCCTTGGAACTTGCGGACGTCAACGGGGGAATGATGGGGATAGTCCCATCTTAATGGGGATGGAATATCCATGGATATTAGTGTAGTTGCACATCTAGTGGATCTATTTTTTTAAATATACATAAATAATGGATATAATAGAATACAATGAGGATGTACACACCTTACATCTGCCCCCCAAATGAACAAATCCAATACTAAACCAGGGAAACACACCCAAAATCACTTTAGTTTTCGCCTACTCCTCAAAATGGGAGTTGGGATGGTATTTCATGAGACAAATCGGCAGGAAAAACATGCAGTAAACCATAGGTTTTTTACCACTCAAACAATGGGGCCTCTGGTAATTTTTTTTTGAAATCTGATCATCTGATCCTTCTTTTGTAGCTCTTGGGAGTGACAAATTTTCCTCTGATGAACCATGATGAGAATGGAGCCATCTGCTGTATGCACTGGGTTAGGTGAGCCACTGCAGCCTCTGATCCTTTTGAGGTTGGGAATGGCAAGACCGGTGGAGCTTGGAAGAGATCCTTGGCCTTTCTGGGTGCTGCATCCTCCGTGCATTGTTAACTCTAGAGAGGGAGGTGCCAGGGAATGGTTTCGATGTTGTTTGGGCTGCCTGATTTCGAGGATCTTCTCCGTTGACCCTTCTGTCAAGCTTGCACTGAGGAATTTGATGAATTTGGTCTTGGTGAATGGCTTGAACTGTGTGAGGTGCCGGCATTTTTGGCGCATTTTTGGTGAACGTTCACCCTGGTGACTGGAGCTGAAAATATGAAAAACACGTGTGCTAAAAACCAGCTGGGAATACTTGCTGATCTCATTTTGATCAGTATCTCAATATTCTCTGAGATTCTCTGGTTGGTTTTAACATGTTTTAACCACTTATTCCATTTTCAATTACATGTGGGATGATCCCCAATGACTGTCCTGTTTTTCTAGGCTCCACCCAGTTCTCCTGGAAGGTTCAACGGCTTCACCGGAGGCCACTGCAGTGCTGTGCTCGTCAGGCGGACGGATGTCGTTGGCGATATGGAGATGGTTTGAACATGGTTCAAACAACTAAGGGGGTGAAACCAAACGGCAGTTTTTCTTTGTTACACCAGGAGGTAAACTGGATTAAAGTGATAAACGTCAAATCTGGCTTTTCTGACTGTGGTTGTGGGAAAGTCTCATTATCATATCCAGCCGGAGTGGTGATGGCTTGGAAACTCCTGCAGTTGACCGAATGAACATCCCATAAGCAAACTCATACGGAGGTGGATGCATCCACTGTGTGGGATGTTCCGAAGTCAGGCCAAAGATGTCTGATGATGGAGAGCTACAAAGCCTGGAGGCCGCATGGACTGAGAAGGTTATGTTTCTTCAAATCTTGTGCCAACGAAACTTGAAGAATCCACCCCCGAGTGTACAGGATTGGGCGATCACAAACCCAGGGACCCTATTTAGAGCCGAGCCGGAGGTCGTTGGCCGAGGGATCAATTTGCCAAGCAATGTGCCCCGGCCGTGACGTGGCGGAGGGGAGGTACCTCCAAAAAGGGACATCCCAAGGGGGTCGACGGGAAACCGGGAGAAACCGGGAAGCCCATGCAGTTTTTTAACGCAAAAAAAGTCATGCAAAATGGGTGCACCCAAATGGAGGCATCTTGGATTTTAAACTTCGTCAGGACATGGGGCAAACAGATCAACCATGGATTTGCCATGTGAGGTTCCACAACTTCCAAGTGCTTCATCAATCACCGGACCTCAGGTGCCACGAGATTTGGGGCCAAGGCCAGTTCGTTGCAGGAAACTCATGTCGCTTCCTGCGTTGGTGGTTTCAAAGCTTTTCAACCAGTTTTTGAAGCTTTTCAAAGCTTTTCCATCCTACCCTCTGGTAATTTGACATAACTATGGAAAATCACAATTTTTCATGGGAAAACTCACTATAAATGGTGATTTTCAATAGCTATGTTAGTTTACCAGAGGGTAATATCCAACTGACAGCATTTTTGGCGTCGGGTAGAACCACTCACCAGCGACGTCGAACTTGGGCCGGCAGGCGCAGGAACGAGATTCACGCCGAGGTTCAAGTCCTCGCAAGGTGTGCAAGGTGGAAGTGTCATCATCACCCCAAAATTCAGTTATTCTTTTTGCCATCATAAAACCTTAATTTGGAAAGATCGGCCGAACAGATTAGTGATACCCATTTTTTTGGGGATTTTTGGTCCCTGGAGATGTTGGATTTGCCAGGTTTGGAACTCGCACAGCGGGCTGTTGGATGTGCATCCAGATGTTTCCCTGCTGGGAGTGTTGCAAGGTGCGATTGGGATGCCGTTGGTTGGAAGATGTTGGAAGATTGGGATTGGAGGATTGGGACAATGACCAGGAACTTGGAGTTCGACCATCACCCTCAGATGCTTCAAAATTGGTCATGAGATATTGCAGTGCATCAGTGCAAGAGCAATGTCTCTATAAGAAGTTAGCAGGTTGATTTCTAAAATCATCCTGGTAATGGAGATAATTGAGATAATAGCCAAGTTTTCTCAAGAGACGAAAGTCCATGAACATCCAGGAGTTTCCTGCTGCGAAAATGACAAGTTGGAACATCATCCAATGGACGAGTGGACGAGTATGGCACTACGGTTCCCCCAGAGACCAGTTGGAAAAAGTTGGAAACGAGGCCTTGATTGCTGCTGGCGTCACAAGGGTGATCTTCGAGTGCCCCAAAAGGGTGGGAGACTGGGAGAGCTGCTGTTTTCTGTGGTTCCATGATGCCCAGTTTGGAGTGCCAAGTGATCCACCAAGTTTCAGTCTTTTTTTGGTGTAAGACTTTGGACACTTTCAACAATCCAATTTGGGAGCTCAATCATTTTGAGTGCAAGGCCGAAGATGTCTTTCTTGGAACTACATGGTGTCTCGAATCGTCGCTCGCTTACCCTTTCTTCAACCTATCTTGGTAGGCGGAGAACCAAATGCAAGCGACCCGGATGTGGGGAAGGCGGGGCTTGCCATGTTATTCTCAACGGAGATCATCATTCCCATCGTCCCATCGTCCCATCGTTTCCCCTTCCCCGATCGTTTGGACAGGTCGATCCTGGCCGCACAGGCGGCTGGCATGGAGTGGACGGCGATCCCCAAAGATCCGGAACGCAAGGAATGGGATCCAGGGATCCTCAAGGAATCAGTTTCCATGGAAGTTCCATGGAAGTGCTGGTAGTTGCGAAGAAGCACACTCCATTTTTCTATCATGAAAATCATCCCCTAAAAATCAAAGACCCCCATTGCCCATTGTGTGGTCCCAAATATGTGAAGATCCCTGATTAAGCCATGGTTTCTAGGGGTGTTTGATATCAAGAGGAATGGATTAACAGACATATGTTCTATATGATGTTTTCTTTGTATGGTGCGCTGTCTTGTTTCAAGCAAGTGACACATTGCCGAAGAAGCTGTTGAAAGCAGTGGAATTGGGACCAAATCAATAGCAACATACCAGATCCAGGTGAGGTCACAAGTTTTCGACAGGAGTACGTGTACCAGTTGTGGGAGGATTACAAAGAGAGCAAAGGCAGGACTTCTAAGTGTCATGGTTGGCTTTGTGGATGACGCTTCTTGAGCTTGGTGGCTTAGTGCCTTAGGGCTTGGGTTGAATTTTGAATGTTTGTCAAGGGATGACGATCCAATCCTTTTTGAGTGAAATGCACCAGTTTAGCATCAACTTTTTCAGGCAGAAGGACCATCTCCCAATGCGTCAAAAAATGGCCGTCCCCATCCCGAAGGTCTCACCCGCGCGGACGTCAAGGCTCTGGGGCGGCAACGAACATCGGCTGCACCTGCCACTGCTGTGACCAAAAAGGGGTTGCCGCTGGTGCGTTTGCCTTGCCGGGGACAAGTACTGCAAAATTAACAGCCACTGATTTGCAAAGGAACACAAGATTTGACAACAATAAACATCACAAACCATTCACAAGTGGAGGTTCATTCTGGTGTTTCATCACACCACTGCAATCACTGCAGATAGTTTTGGACAGTCAACGGACAGCCGTATCACATTCCAAAGCTGGACTGCTGATGCATCGGAGGCTCCAATAGATTGTTTGACTAGATACGACAGCACGCTGATGCTGCGGTGACCTGCAAAATGCATCAAGATGCATCACTGGACACATGGACATTACAGAACCGCTGTTAATCAGCACTAGAGTGGTGGCAGATTTGACAGCAAACAAAACAATTCTAGCTACTCTTGACTCCAGAAAGGCGCTTCACCGCTTTGTTTGCCAAAACATTGTGAAAGCGAATTGAAGAACCAGAATCTCCAGTAGTTGCAGTGTCACTATTGTTTTGAAAGACGAACTCAGGCTGTCCAAATTGGTTGCCTTGGGTGATCTGCCGTGCAATGGAAAATGCAGAGCCGGGCTTGGAGGCAGGGCGGTTGGGTCGGCACAAGGTAACCCCAAATGATTCCAAAATCCAGTGATTTGACAATCCATTTTTGGGGGATCCCCACCTTGATCAGCCAGGTAAAGGAAGTATCCCACATCTCAGGGTTCTCTTCATGGGAAAATCACTTTCCTTTTTGAAATGGGTGTAAGTCGTTCTTAGAGTTGAGAAAATCCATTTCCATATTTTTTTCACCAGGAAAATTGCAATCTCTGCAACTTGGAGGCACATCCCACAGAAACTGAGACAAAAAACCAGGGATGACCCCTCCGAAGTTTCGGAGGTGCGAACTCCCCTACTGCACCTGGCCCTGCACGATGGAACTGCAGCGCTTTTTGGCCGATTTTGGGCAGCTGGGCGGGTCCAAAAAGTTGGGATTTTGATGGGAAATGAATAGGATACCCAATGGTAGTCTAACACAGATGTGGAACACCATTATTGTTTATTGATACAAATGGGTCATTTTCGATAGCCATTTTTGATTACCAGAGGGTGAGCTTGATTCAATCATCAAGGGATGGTTATTCAAGTAGCATTTAAGGGAACTTGACACAGGATGAATGATCAATAGAATCAATATCAAATCTGAGTTTGCCTAATCATGAGGGATGGGCCCCACATTTATCGCCATCAAATACTAGGGAAAATGATGATCATCATGGATAATCCAGAATGGGATATTGGGGTACCCCATTTCAGACAAACCATGACAAACCCAAATCACCGCATACGCTGTACTTGTTACTTGAATAATTACAAAACTAAGGAGACTTTGTCTATGCGTTCTGTACAGTCAGGGATACACCTTGACTGCCTTGACTTCTTCACCTCCAAGATATTGACAGAATTGCAAGCGGATATTGGCAGACCCCCACATATTTGGAGGTTTTCAAACCATGGTTTTCTCTATAGACATTCCCACCAATCAATCCTTTTTAGTGATAGTGATACCATCATAGCAAGTTGATGGGGAAGCCCCATCCGCAGACAGGTTCTTGATTCTCCGGCTGCTCCCCCCGAGGGTGGGCCTCAGTTGGGTGGTTTGAATTTCAGGTGGAGGATTCACAGTAACTATTCATGAATTTCATCTAATTATACCTCAATATATGCATCCATTTTTACTGTGGGAATTGATGAATTGATGTTCAAGATTTCAGCATTGTTGAGTTCTCGAGTTTAAACCTAAAGAACAAGCTCAATCAATTGGTAACCCCCTTAAAAAGATGCAGAGGTCAGCGCTCTTTCCGAAAGAGTCCGTAATAACTACCGGTCATCAAATGTGGCTGGAACATCCTCTACTGGTTGGTGGTTTGGAACATTTTTTATTTTTCCATATATTGGGAATAATGATCCCCATTGACTTTCATATTTTTCAAGATGGTTAAAACCACCAACCAGTCTATAACTGAAGGTTTTTTTAGGGGAAATCATTGGACCTCAATGGGATTTCCAATTGATCCGATCGGTGCGACACGACACCTGCGATCGCACGTGACGCAGACCTGGTGGCAGCTACGCGCCCTGTCGCCGGAGTGGCGTCAGCTGCTGGACGTAAGGGGCCCAGGATGGCCCCAACGGGTTGGGGCGAGGCCTCATTGGTTAAGTCCACTGGATCGGATCATAGGAAGCCTCTTTGAGAAATGATTTTGCGGTGATTTTTACAGATGTTGACATATTTTATATATTTTTATATAACATGTTTGGCCCAGGCAAGTGGAAAATGGATGAAAATTGGGCAGATCTGAATAGATCTGTACTAAACCGCTGTTTCGTGGCTGCGGTGGACTGAAGCTCTTGAAGGAAGAGTACAAAATGGAAGCAGTCCGTCGCGCATAGCTCGTAGCACGCAGAATCAGTTCTCACCCGCGGTAGCTTTGGCCAAGTTTGTAAGATCCGCCCTGTGGATAAGGTTGAGGTGGTCTCAAAGGCTGTAAACTAGTTTGGACCTGCACAAGCGGAGGTGACCATGAAGGTGGCCGACCACCCCAGCATTGTTTAACCATGTTTAACCCATCGATTCTTGTGTGAAGGCCAGGAATCTCCACATCATCATGGAGTTCCGCCCTACCAGGCTTTGCACCGCATCGCTTTGGGCCTGGCGCACCTGCGCTGCAGCAATGCCACCGCAACAACCAAGCAACGTTCTATTGAGTGAAGCTGGCCGGCCAAACCAATTCTGCCATATCTTGCTGTGAAGTTGATTGGTGGGCCTTCGGTGCAATTTTCTTCCTGCTTTTGAGTGCGGAATGCCCTTTCAAAGTAAACCCAGTGCGTTTTCAAGGATGAACCTTCCGAGCGGTTGCTCAGGACGCCATCAATACGGGTGCCCGTTCTTCTGCAGTTTCGATTGGAGTTTTACAAGGGCCCAATCGAAGACATCACAGATGAAACAGCTGAATTACTCCGGCGTTTTGTGAGTTTCATGCATTGTCCTCCGCAAATGCAGGAGATCGCGAGAATATTTGTGGCGCGGAGTCAAAAAATACAACGTCCTATTGGATACGGATGGATGTTGGATGGATATATATATATACATATATATATATATCTAGATGGATATAGATGGATATGGGATGATGTACGGACATGTTGGACATCGTGATTAATACTTTTCAATTGGATTCATTCTGTTTATGGTGTCTCTGAGGATCATGCTGATAGCTGTGCTGACAGGCCCGAGCGCTGTTGATCGCTGAGTTTGGTGGGTTTGAACTCGGTGTGTCCAGCCATGGGGAAATCTATGGCTGAAGTTTCAGGATTTCAGGGTCTTACATTGTGAACCAAACCGTTATTTTACTTTATTTCAAATGCAGATCTGGTATGATTTGGTCATTGGTGAATTTCTGCAAACCAAAGGAGTTTGGGACCCATGATCTGAAGAGTGCGTTGTGGCAGGTCGCCAAGCTCGCGGGAACTAGTCCGGCACTTAGCGATGCCGCCATTGGGCCATGTGGAAGCCGGGTCGGGGAAGTCCTTTCACCATGGTCAACGACTAACTATATACCCTCTGGTAAACTCACATAACTATACATAACTATGGAACATCACCATTTTTAATGGGTAAATCCACTATAAATGGCAATTTTCAATAGCTATGTTTGTTTACCAGAGGGTATAGATGGATCGAGATCTTTCCACATGTGTTTTTTTCTAAACGAGTTTCCCTGGGGCTGAATCGCTGGGATTGGCCGTGGCAGGGAGCTTCAGTATGGTGTGAATTCGCATTTCTAGACGACATTTTTATTGGTTATGTCATGTGTATATATATATACATACATACATACATACATACATACATACATACATACATACATATCTAATATTTAAATATAAATCAGAAATTAAATCAGCTATATCAGCATCTCCCAATATCCCCACGGCGTGGGGTCAACGAATTTGCGCTGCACTTCCCATGATTTCGCTGCACCACTTGAGGACTGGGCTTCGCGGCGTCGCGAATGTGTGGGCTTGGTGAAGCTTTTGGTCGAGGTGTCGTTTGCGCGTTGTCTGTTGCCAGTGGTTGAAGCTGGGAATATCACCGAGAGAACACGGAAGATCATATTATTTGTGGAAAATGTATGAAAATGTGTGATGTATATAACCAAATGATAGTTTTTACATCATATCATTGTGATGTAGAGTACCAGCAAAAATAGAGATGTAACTTGATAGGGCACAGAAACATGTTCGCTGCAAACCCTAGGTTTGCCCGCGTCGAATCCCGCATATCCTTTGACATGCTCAAATCCCTGCGTAGGGTTTAAGTTTTTTACTTTCCACAACAACAAACCCTAACCTAAAACCCTGAACCCTAAATTAAAACCCCAAATCCTGAAAACTTGAAGTCAAAATCACCTCGTATAGCCAGTGTTTTCATTCATCCTCTGGTGATAAGCATATCATATTGTTTGGATGTGTTGTTTGAGTGTGGGCGAACCCGGGGTTGGAGGGAACATGTTTTTTTGTTGCTCTTTAATAAGATTAAAAAAAATGCCCAGGTGTTAAATGCTATATGAACTTGCGATGAACTCGGTGCTATGTTGTTTGTCCAGGGTTGGCACAGATGATTTTCAATGAAACCCCACATATTTTGGGTATTTTTACCGCGTTTCCGTGCAACATTTCCTTCAAAATCAATGGAATTGTATTGACTCTGGCAATCAAACATGGGAATTGCCGGACAATTCCCCAACAGTTCGATGATTTTCTAATTTAACTGCTAATTTTCCAATTTAACTGGCAATTATGGATGGGTACTGAGGCTAAATCCACTGGTACCCTGACATCCGCCAGGCGGCAGGTCCACTGCGAACGGCCAACGAAGAAGTGGATTTCGCAGGCGCGGCTCGGGACATGCAGCGGAAACCATGGGTTAAGAATGGCAAGAATGCCCCAAAAAACATAGGTATTGTATGTTATTAGTGCCGAATGCCTAAAAAAAACATGGGTATTGCCAAATTCGGT